ATTCAAGAGAGCATTATACACTAAAAGTAAATTAACTGCTATGTCATGGAACCTTATGGACAAATCTTACCAACTCAATGCTCAGCAAAGAAGCCAGCCAGAAAAAAAGTGCATACTGTATGATTTGTTTAGAGAAAGGTCATAGATAGACAAAGCTTATTAATTGTAATATAATTGGTAACTGTGGTTACCTTTGGTGAAGGGATTGGTTAGTGATTGTGAAGGGGACACAGGGAAGCCTCCAGAATACTATTATTTGGTTTATTCATCTGGGGTGGTGGGAGGTAGTGCTTCTATAGCTATGTTTACTTTGAAAAATCTCAATGAGCTTCACATTTAGCAAGTGGGTAACTTGTTCTATATGTATCTTTGATTTTAATTTTACCTTGTAAAATTTTAATAGATGAGCTACAAATAATATATCAAGTGTGAGTTAAGAAGCTGGGTAATAGTGAGCTAAGTTCTTGCCTTTCATATCAGGTTGTTCTTGGGTTTGTCTTAACAATAATGAGTCAAGCAATGGAGTACAATTATATTGTCCAACATTTTGGTGATAACTGCAAAAACACCCAAAAATCTCATTTTAAAAGGTTGATTTTGGCGAGTGAGATGGCGATGAAGGGATGAGTTTGGGGCTAGACTATTTATCATAGATTTTTTAAACCATTTGCTTACAATTATAAAACTTTTTAAAGAAAGTATCAAACTACCAGAGGCACATTTCAGTTCCATAAATATTTATGGCATACTTAAATTATGCCAAGAGCTGTGCTAGATGCAGGGGAAACAAAGATGACTAAGATATGATACTTTCTTTCAAGGAGTTCACAGTTTAATAATGGAAATAGGTACTTAAGCAGAGGATGTTCTTTCTTTTTTATTTCTATTTTTTTCTATTATAATACACATTTAGAAAAAACTGGAAAACAAACAGAAAAATAAAATTACACATAGTCTCATTATCAAAAGATAGTTTTCCAGAATTTCCATACATATGTAACTATTTTTTGAAATATATATGTGTAACTATTCATATTTTTTGCAACCAGACAAAATATACAGAAAATATTTTCTAATGTCTTTAAAAATTCTATCACACTAAACAGTGACTGCCTATAGTCACCTAATGAGTTTGCCCCAGTTGATAGAGTCATCAGCACAGCCTTGGAGGTTGGATAAAGCTTCCTAATAAAGATCACTCATCACTGAGAACATATTCCATTTCAATGAAGCATTATTATCACAAAGTAATCAAAGCTTCCCTCGGGTCCCCCCACTGAATACACACACACTACCCTGACATAGTTTTATTGGACCCATATGATGAGCTATTGTGTTCGCAAATTCAGGCTGTTCTCAAGATGTCTTTGCACTGCCATTTAAATTCATCATTTAGGAAATTTTTCTCATCTCTATTCTCTCTGCCATCTGCCATCCACAAGCCAGTGTACTTATAACCAAGAATGGAAATTTCCAGGGCAATGAGGAGGTGGGAAAGAGAAGGAGGGCAGCTAAGATTACCCAAAACCTGAGCTCTGGCCTCCTTTTATATCAGTAGAAAACGCCCCCTACTTAAACTCCAAAGCCACTGCAAAATAGTTGGCTAAAGTAATTAGCGATGATGTTATACTCCTGGAGATAAGTGTTGTCCAAAATTCAGGAAAAGAAAGAGAAGGGGAAAGAAAAAGGGGAAGGGAAATGAAAAGGGAAAGGAAAAGACAAAGGGAAAGAGAATGAGAAAGAAAAGGCCAGGCAGTTCTACAGAAGCGCTTCTTTCATTTGAGAACCGCTTACTTTCTTCTTAGATGCCAATTGTTGAGGTTCCTTCCAGGACCTGATACTGAGATGAAATTTTACAAAATGCATTTTATGCAAAACTCCTACACACAATAAAAGAGACGCCCACACACTCAGCAGGTCGAACACTCAAGAATTATATACATCAAATTTGCTAGAAATAAAGAAAAAGTAAGTAATAATTTCCATACTGACCTGGATATAGAAGTTCTTGAGTCAAACTTTCATAGCAGATGGAATGATTTTTTCTGACAGTTACACACACTCTTTGCCAGGGTGAAATGATAACCAGTGACAGAATGGTCATAATAACTTTGGAAAATGAAAGGCTATGAGGACCAGAATTTTATTTTTTTAACTACTTAAATTAGAAATAGTTATCTATGCTGAAATGCGACTTTGAAATTGTGGTGACTCAGACATAGACTAGTACTTTTCAATAACACTTATGAATGCTATAATTAATCCAGTAATTCATTTTACTAATAAAATACAACTAGGATGTTAAATAATCTGAACATATTACTTCTCTTACTTTAAGTGCTTTACACATTATAATTAAGCAAAGCAAGGTTAAAATCATACACATAATTAAGGAAAGCAGTGTTAAAATAAATGAAACAGAATTGTTCTCTGTACTCGATTTAATCTCCATAAAAAGACGATTACATAGTGTTAAAGATGGTAGGGCTTCCAAACACTTAGCCCATAAGTATATTAAGGGAGCCTGAAATCAATGTTTAATTTCTTTGACTTGGAGCAGAATCAGTTCTTTTCTTTGAGTGTTTATTGTAAGTAGAGCTCTTATCTTCCAAATAAAAGACTCAAGCATCAGAACTGCTGTGCTTCTAAAACAATACAGAAGAATAAACCTCTATTTAGAATCTACAAAGAACAAATCCAACATTTAGTTGCTACATGATATATATTTTTCATGGAATATTTTTGACCTGTTGGGACACATCTCATTTTTGAACACTTAGGAATAATACATACTTACACATTCTTGCATGTATCAAGCATTTATTGAGTATGTTTTGAATTTCTTTCATCAATAACTTATGTCTACTAAGAGCCACTCTTTACTATTTAAGAGGTTGCAGGAAAATCTTAAATCTGAGTCATTTTCCCCAAATTTAATTGCATTGAGCATGCTGAAAATTCATAAAATTTTTCACTTTCATAAGGAAAATTAACATAAATTGAGCAAATGCTTTTTTTCATACATATACTAGGCACTTTTTAAAACATACATACGTCTTTAAATCTTGAAATAACGCTATGAGTAAGGGCTATTTAACATAATGACTATGCCCATTTAACATGAATCTGTTTAAAGGAATTATGTAACTTACCAAGTTCACACAATTAAGAAGTAGCAAAATCAGTATTCAAATCCAGATTTGTCTGATTCTGAAGTTCATATTCTCTCTGCAACATTACATTACTTCTTGTATATAGACGCTAAGTTTAACCCTATTCTAGTAACTTTTCCAAAATACTGAGGTCTTGTTATGAAGGGAGTAATTTTATAGACATAGTGACCATTATTCCACAGAGAAATTACGTATTACCTGGTAAAGAATTTTAATTCCAGTGTGAGATTAGAATTAAATTAGTATGCCAGTGTTTGGTAATTTCTGACAAATGTAGGGACACAAGATTTGAATTGGGGAGGTCCTGAAATAGGAAGATAGAAGTAATAATATGTTGATATATTTGCACTAATGTATCCATTATGATGCTAGGAAATTTTTAACATAGCTCCTTGGGCACTGAGGTTTTGATACATGTACATTTTGATAGATCCTAATAGACAAGCTACTAAATGTTTAGTCTTTTTCTAAGCCCCAAATTACTGAAACAAATGATTTTACCCAACTAATAAGCTTCATGCCTCATTCCTAATCCTGTCCCAGAATAAGGATCAGGGATAAAATCTGAATATTACTTAGAGTTGACTTATCCATAAATATGCATGTGCTTGGCCCTCATATCTCTCTCAGTTTCACAGTTCCAGGTATGTTCAAGGCCTTCTTGGATTATCTGCTGGTGTCTGTTTAGAAACCATTTCAGTTTCGTTCTGCTACTGACTAGTGAGTGCAAAATCCTGTCATGCCTTCTATGTCTTGACGATACCTGGTTGCTTCCCAAAGTGGGTAATTCCTGGAAAATGAGGTCCATCCTTTCACTCCACTGTTCTCCAGAAGAAATATCCACCCTAAATATCCATATGCCCTCAAATTCTGGTGAACAAAATTTTTCATGTCATTACACTTTAATGGTAGGTTTGAGACAGGCTCAAAGGGCAGGCTTAGCAAGTAAGTGGAGGTTAAATACTATCTGGCTGACAAACCTCATTGAAACAAGAGCCCCATATATATATATACACACACACACACACACAGAGAGACATACACACCCTGCTGGTGCATCTCATGGTGGCAACAATGACTCATCTATGCAGAATACCTCTTTTTCTCTGTGAATTCATTTGTTTCTTGAATGGTCTCAGATTTTCCGATATCTCCCTCAAAATTAAAGTAACTGCAGAGCCGGGGTTGGAGTGAGTATTGGAGCTTCACACTGCTCAAGAAATCCTCAATTACATTTTTTACAACTTCCTTCATATCTGCATTAATATAAATTTATCATATTTAATATTCTAAAACAAAGTTTAAATGATGGCTTTTTGAGGGGGTAAGACTAAAGTTCCCACAAAGGCTAACCAAAGTAGACTTACTTCAAAAATTTATTTCATTCATTACTACAATAAAAGTAATTATTAAACTATAACTTTATAGCTTATTCTATCAAACTATGAAAACTATTTTATTGTAACTATTAAACTATACATAACTATTAAAATAATATAGATGTAAATCGAGTTCAAATAAAAGTTTATCATAACCAGAATGGCAGCTAACAGATTAAATGTAAATCAAAGAGATCTATTTTGCATATCATTGAGTATTTTTAAAGATATTTTTACTCTGATCAAGCCATATGGAATCAAAGTGATTGCTTCACGATGTACCCTGTGATACAGTATCTGCACCAAAATGCTTGTACCAAAATAGCTGTATCAACATGGCCATATAAGCACATTCTGCTGTGATCCAGGATAGACTGTAAATTAGATATAAGTGGTGGGCCTCACTGTCATATTTCTCTTCCATTGTATACTGTGTTGTTCTTTCTAGCCTTGATGCACGCCTTGGTGTTTGGAAACGTGACAGCAATCATACAGAGGATGTACTCCAGATGGTCCCTCTATCACACTAGAACTAAGGATCTGAAAGATTTTATCCGTGTCCATCACCTGCCCCAACAGCTCAAGCAGAGGATGCTCGAATATTTTCAAACAACCTGGTCAGTCAACAATGGAATAGATTCAAATGAGGTAATGTTCATTTCTCATGTTGTTTTCAGGCAGAAAGCACATATTCTAAGGTAAAAGCAAGATGCTCTAATGCAGGTATCAGAAGTGAAAAGCATACTAACTTCTTTATTCCTTTATTTTTTTAATTATTCATGAATCCCAATCCATCTTCTTTCGCTTGCTTTGGCTTGTGTTTTCACAATGCCAATTTGGATGGACCAAAGTTTTATATTAACTTGCTGCTTGTTCAATCAGGTGGACTTTCCTTCTTATCGTCTCTTTTCTAAGGAATCAATTCTTATGACAATTTAATGGTGTAATCTGGGATAATTATATGAATCAAGTTTCTATCTCCCTTTAACATCAATAAAGTTAAAAAATTCCATCAAAGGGGTTATCTTTATACTTCCAGAAACACCCCAGACTGCCACTATAAAAAAGGTATTATATATATCTCATTCCTGTAATCCCAGCACTTTGAGAGGCCCCGGCGGGTGGATCATGAGGTCAGGAGATGGAGACCATCTGGCTAACACGGTGAAATTCCGTCTCTACTAAAAATGCAAAAAATTAGCCGGGCGTGGTGGCGGGCGCCTGTAGTCCCAGCTACTCGGGAGGCTGAGGCAGGAGAGTGGGGTGAAACCGGAAGGCGGAACTTGCGATGAGCCAAGATCACACCACTGCACTCCAGCCTGGGCGACGAGCGAGACTCCGTATCAAAAAAAAAAAAAAAAAAAAAAAAAAGATATTATATAAATCAACCAACCATTTCATCAACCCACCAACCAAACCTGTAACCAACATTTTAGTAGTGATTAATTGGTTTCTCCTCTCTTCGTATAATCACCAGTGGATCCAAATTCCATATCTTATGTCCTGACTAGGACTCTGTGAGAAGCAAGTCACAATGAGTCATTATATGTTTTCCTGCTAGAGCGTTTTCTTAATTTGTTCTCTTTCTCCAGACTTCTTATCAGCTGATTATTTAGTAGCACATAATTGAAATCACAGTCACTGAAAAATCTCTCCAGGATTATACATACTTAGATTTCCTCTTCCATATGCTGGATGGCCAAACAGCAGGAGACAGTAGGAAGAGCATCCCTGCAGTCTTGCAAAGTAAATCAGTTAGACGACACTTACCCCAATTTGATTTCCTCCTTCATCTTCTCTGACAGCTTTTGAAGGACTTTCCAGATGAACTGCGTTCTGACATCACTATGCACTTGAACAAGGAGATCTTACAGTTGTCCCTTTTTGAATGTGCCAGCCGGGGCTGCCTCAGGTCTCTGTCTCTACACATCAAAACCTCTTTCTGTGCTCCGGGGGAGTATCTGCTGCGTCAAGGGGATGCTTTGCAGGCCATCTACTTTGTGTGCTCGGGCTCCATGGAAGTTCTTAAAGACAGCATGGTGCTGGCTATTCTTGGTAGGTCTGAATTGAAACACTTGTATGAAGTTTGACTCTGGAGCATAAATTAAGAAGATGAAATGGGGAAAAACTGCTATTGAGAGTAGGAAAAGAATAGATGAAGACGTGAACTCAGGAGTATTCTTCATATGAGTTTAGTTTGCCTAAGTGTTATATCCAACATATTATTTAATTCTTGTAAAAAAAAAAGTAGTATAAATATTATCTCCATTTTAGACATGAATAACTAGTACTTGAGTTAACAAGCCCAGATCACCTAGTAAGAAAATAAACTCAGTTATTTTTGATTCCTAAAGCCAAATTATTAATCATGATGTATACTCCCTTCTGGTGAAATAGCTGCTCCGTTTTAAGAGGGCATTTATTTTTGTGGAAAATTGATTCAGAGAAAACAAAAAATAAATTGTATCTGTGCTAGAAATAGAGCAAAGGTGACTATGTTTCAAGAATAACCTCTCATAGCAGTCATTAACCTAATACTGTCAAGGTGACTATAGGCTCTTTTTACTTCCTTAAAGAAAACTTACAAGATGTATTGTGAAAATTTTGTGCCACAGAGCTGACTCTCAATATTAATACGTAATTGGCCTTCATTGAAACATAAAGGGCAGTTGACAAAAACGGCATGCAGAGTTAATGTATACAAAATCCTGTTTACAATTTTATGTGGGCCTGTTTTAAAGGTCACTCTGGGCTGGGCACGGTGACTCACGCCTGTAATCCTAGCACTTTTGGAGACGAGGCAGGTGGATTGCTTGAGCCCATGAGTTCAAGACCAGCCTGGGCAACATGGACAGACCCTGTCTCTACTAAAAGTACAAATAATTACCTGGCCATGGTGGCAGGATCCTGTAGTTCCAGCTACCTGGGAGGCTGAGATGGGAGGATCGCTTGAGTCTGAGAGGTGGAGGGTGCAGTAAGCCAAGATAGCGCCACTGCCTCCAGCCTGAGAGCAGAGAGAGAGAGACAGTGTCTCAAAAAAAAAAAAAAAAAACTGTAATTTTTGTTTGTTTATTCACCTAACATTTATTGAGGGCCTATGAATGAATCCAGTACTGGTCTAAACACTGATAATGCAGCAAAAAAGAAAATGACCAAAATCCTTGCCTACATGAAAATTAAACTGAAGTGAAGGATATGATGGGGTCTGAAACCAGCCAAGGTGGTAGTAATGATGGTGAGAGGCAGGTGAATTCAGGATGTATTTCAAACACCAATATAAAACACAAATATTTAGAGTTTGCGCTAATAAAAGGGGCATAAATTCAGTACCTTTTTATTTTTAATTTTTAAGAACCTTATATTTGTAAACAATTACTTGCAAAGTGCGTTCATACACAAGGTCTCATTTAAGCCTTTACAACACAGAAAGACAGATGGCGAAGGTATTTTCTCTGATTTTTCTAAAGTCAAGGCTAACCTAAGACATTGGATTCTGTATTCAGCGTTCCTTCCGTGTCTAAACAATATCTGTTTTTCTAATTTTAAAAAAAAACCCTGCACTCATATGTTTATCACAGCACTATTTATGATAGCAACAATATGGAATCAACCTAAGTGTTCATCAATGGATGAATGGATTAAAAATATGGTACATATATGCAATGGAATACTATTCAGCCATAAAGAAGAATGAAATCATGTATTTTGCAGCAATATGGATTGAACTGGATACCATTATCTTAAGCAAAATAACTCAGAAAAAGAAATTCAAATACTACATGTTCTCACTTATAATTGGGAAGTAAATAAAGTGTACAGATGGACATAGAGTGTGGAATAATAGACACTGGAGACTAGTAAAAGTGGAAGACTAGGGGAGGGGGTGAGGGATGAAAATAAATTAATGGATACAGTGTACACCATTCAAGTGATGGTTACACTCAAAGTCCAGACTTCACCACTAGGCAATATATCTATGTAACAAAACTGCACTTTTATTCCTTAAATTTATGCAAATTTTAAAAAGACATTATTCTATATAATCATTGTAGGCCTTCTATCAGTGGATTCTGGCTAGTAAGCTTCAAAATAGATTATATTTTGGAAGAGAGAAAGAGAACTAATATGTATTGAATCCCTCATATGATCTGGGTGTTTATGCCCATTATTGAATTTAAATCTTACAACCTCATTGTTTGTGGGTTATGATCTGAATGTCTGCCTCCCCCCAAAATTAATATGTCAAAACCTAATCCCCAATATGATGGTATTAGGAGTGGGGCCTTGAAGAAGTGAATAGGTGATGAGGGCACAGCCCTCATGAATGGGATTAGTGTCTTTATAGTAGAGGCTCAGGAGAGCTACCCTGCCTTTTCTCCCATGTACAGACACAACGAAAAGGTGCCATCTGTGAATCACAAAGTGAGCCCTTACCAGACACCAGCCTCTAGAACTATGAGAAATATTTTTTTTTGTTTATAAGCTGCCCAGTTTACAGTATGGCAACCTGAATAGACTAAGACAGTATGATTATTTCCAAGATTAAAGGTGAAGAGATAGACACTAGTGAATGATGAAAGACCCATATGCTTTTCACTGCTTCATGTTGACTTGTTTACCACTTAGAGTAAAGGTAGGGTTTGTCTTTCAAATTTGTGACTCTGTTCTTTTCTCATCCTCTTATGTTTTTCTCCTTAATAGTAAGACATGGAATGGCAACTCAGAGTTTACTATTAATATGGTCGTTTCTTTATCAATATTAGAGTAAGGCTCAGTAATAGAGTAACTCAATATTAGAGCAAGGCTCCGTGTGTGTGTGTGTGTGTGTGTGTGTGTGTTCTTTCTTAAGGGGAGAATTTAACACTCTTCCTGGCCTCTTCTCAACTTTGTGAAGTTAAAGGCCAGCCACCCTGTCATCTTGTTATTCTAAATTAGAATTAACAGTTATTCTTAATTTGCTTCAAAAACTTAACCTTAATCATAAAATATTTTTTATTGATTTTTCTTTAGTACCACGAAATGTTTTATAGCCTGCCTAAGGATTCAGCCTGTTTTTAAGAGGGCATCTAGACTTTTTCCTTAGAATCTTGTATCATTCTAAACAGATATAATGTGGATTTTTCTATAATTGTGGTGTATTTTAAATTTTGGTAGCTATCAACAGTTTTAGGAATAGAATATGAAGGCATCATCTATGACACTAGAGCACAGTAAGTACAAATTTAGTGGCTTCTGTGTAACTTCCATTGCTAGTCAAATATGATTCAGTTGGATATTTCTTGTTACATTTTTTTAAAAACTACTTATGGCTGAAAGATTTAATTCATTATCTTTTGCTCCTGGCCCCAAGTTTCTCCGTAAAATGTGATTAACATGGGTAACATTTTCACATCTTTGCCTCTCCCATGTATACATCAAAAGTGCAAATTGCTGCGTGACCATTCTAAACACTGGTATGTGGTACTGGGGCTAAACTCAAACAAAGACAATAAAAGATTAATATTTATTTTCTGTGATTAACATTATTTCAATAAAGATTGACTATTTTACTTTCCCTATGGATTATATATATAATATTGCCTTATAGGGCTTATAGGGCTAATTCAAATCAATACTACTTTGATAAACTTAGCAAGTACGTGACATTATACTTGACCTGTAGATATTTAGCACATGTTCACTCTGCCAATGAAAAAAATTAATGTTCTTCTTCTTCACAACAACAGCTGTTCAACCATAAACTTATCCTAGCAACTTTCTTGTCCAGTCAATACGTGCAGACATTTCTTAATCTGATACCTGGAAAGGGTAGGGGCAGGAATTTGTTATGGGGCTGGAATTCGTTTGCCTTGTACGCCTTGATTTCATGTCCAGGTAATAGTGTCTCCCCGACCAATTTCTTCATTGTTTTAAAAGAAAATGGCAAAGCATGAATAAATGTACTCTCAACAGAACATTAGTCTGCCTAATTATAACTAAATGTAAGTTATAGCTCTAACCTGGGTGGTTTGCAGATGCATCCTATCACCTTATGTGTTTCAATGAAAGAGTAACTGATTAGCAAAGATCAGTAGTATAATGCTGAAAAATGGAGCCCACAAGAAAATCTTTCTCGTCTTTTAGAAATAAGGATACTGAGACCCAAAGTTACTCAAAAACTTAACTAAAGGTCCTAAATCTAGACAATAAGAAGTCCACAAGACTGTAAAATTAGTGAGGTAGTTTTAGGTAATGAGGTGAATACCAACATGGTATTCACCAGTACCTGCTTGCCAGGACTCAATACAAGGTCCAGCACACGTTGTCAGTTCCCCATAAATATTCATTGAACGAATAAATAAAGTGGAATTCTTTCTAGGATGCCAAGATTGGCAGGATGTTGGTGCTGTTTTTATAGCTAGTGTCATTGTGACTGAAATAGCCATACCATGGCAACCCAAAGTATGAAAGTATGATGACCCTGAAGTTATTGCAGACACTAGTTGCTTCACAGAGAATGTGAATGTTTATTGTGCAAGACACCGCATCATGATAAATTATCCTCAAATATACAAAATTTAAAAATTTGCCGTATTCAAAACATCCTGGCTATATTTACATCCTGCATCAGTACCCAACTTTGAGTTTTGAGCAGCAAGTTAGATTTCTAATGAAATATACAAGAAACAAAATTTCCAAGTTTAGCAATATTGACAACAATAAATCAGACTTAAATTCTTCCATACCACCTGGCTATGTATTATACCTAGTGTCTGTAAATATAGATTTTAGTCTATTTTTTCTTCTACCAAAATAGGCTAAATTTCAAGGTTTAAGTCCAGTGTTAACTTGAAGATAATACCTAGTTATAATATAATAATTTTAAAACTATTTTTTTACTCAACATGCAGATTTATTAAAAACTCAGGTATTCATAGTCAATTTGACATGTTTCCTTTTACTGTCAAATCTGATAAAAGAGACTTGTATTGAAGTCTGCTACATACCAGGGACTTTGCTTCCACAAATGCTGGGCACAATAAAAAATAAAAATTTTAAACAATGTATGGGTACAATAAAAAAGTTAAAAGTTAAAAAAAATTGTTGAATGGGAAGTAGAGGCCATTTGTCCTAATAACATTCCAAAGATATAGCTTGCTTGCTGCTTGTTGTTGTTAGTTAAAAATTTGTTAGTTGTTGGTTCTTTATGAAATGGAGGATAATGGCCATAAAACAAATAAAAGCTAAAGCCCAGGTATGAGGCTATTGTATGCCAAAGCTGAAAAGCCCTGCCCCAAGGTAAACGTTTTTCTCTTTTCAGTGTAATCTCACTGAAAAATGAAGCCTGTGAGTCAAATGAGGTTATCAGTCCTAAGCTTGCTTTTTTTGAAAGTGATCTCTCTCTCTCTTTCTAGGGAAAGGGGATTTAATTGGAGCAAATCTATCAATTAAGGACCAAGTGATCAAGACCAATGCAGATGTAAAGGCTTTAACCTACTGTGATCTCCAGTGCATCATCCTCAAAGGACTCTTTGAAGTGCTAGACCTTTACCCAGAATATGCTCACAAATTCGTGGAAGACATTCAGCATGACCTCACATACAACCTTCGAGAAGGTCATGAGAGTGATGTAAGTCTCATTTCTAATTAGTGCTGAGACCTAATAACATTGGGCCTGGAGATCATTTATAACAGCAAAGGCAGATGTCACGACCTCACCTTAAAAACTCTCTGAATATCTAAGATGTGAATATTCAGCCACCAGTTAAGCAGTTAAATAATTAGCTAGAAGCCAAACCTAGAGTCTGTTATTAACATTTTAAGAAAATATTTTTCATGAATGACTTCTCAACTCAGTTTCTTTCTTGGTTATTTTCATATGCTTATAACTACAATTGATTTCAATTGTATATAACATTAGGTAGAGATGTGTGATTTCTCCGGAATTTAAAGATTTCCATATGAAGTATATGGTTCAGTTTGCTGTGTTTGTAATTGTTCACTACTCCAATTGCTTGACATAGATTTTGCCTAAAAATAATCTTTTATTTAATGGTACACGAAACAGTCTATCTTAAAGTGAATAAATATGCATAAAAGGATTCAAGCCAAGGATTGTCACACTGAAAGCATAATCAACATTTTGTGCAATTATATATTTGCGGCAAGTTTCGTATTAGACAAACAGCTTTCCTGTCAAAATATGTACTATACTGCATCCTGTGATTAAGCTGATCGTGAACATGACTTCATTAGATGTCTCAGAGAGACACATGATTTAATAGGAATGATTGTTGAAAGGCAAGCCAAGGCATGCATAGCATTGTGTAACAACAAGCCTTTATATGCTGTCTTGAGCTTTGTCTCGGATATTTGTAACTCTGGATTTTTTTCCTATGTACTTGAGAAGCTATTGTTTTGACCAACCCATACTGTGCAGATACTCATGTCAATCATTAATATTCTCTGCTGTGAAAGGTAGAAAGAAAACTTAAATTGTGTATTATTTTATCTTGGTTGGGGCTATCTAATGACAGTAAATACGTAGATAATATCCCATTCTGAGGTTCAAGATTACCAGTTTTGCATATATGCTTCTCTCCATTGTTGATAGCAAACAGCAGAGGAGGTACCAACATTTACTGGCTACGTTTTATGTGTTAAGCACCCTACCTATGTAAAGCATCTCATTTATTGCTTAAGACAAATTTTTAAGGTAAGTCTTGATCTGTTTTTATGGAAGAGAAAACAAATTCAGAATGGTTAAGTCGTGTGTCTGTTCACACAAACTTGCAGGTGGCTGGGTCAGAGTTTCAACATAGGTATCAGAGTTTAAAACATGTATTGTTTCTGTTAAATATGTTGCCTCTTCTTAAAATCATGTTCATGTCTTTTAAAAAAATCAGTAGATTGAATTTTAAAACTACAGTTGTCTTCTGTCCTCTCCATGACAGCATAAAATGACAACTGTTTTGAAAATCGAGGGTGAGTTAGGGGATGGAAGTAATCAGAAAGAAGAAGAAATTAGCAAAGAGAGAAAAATCACTAATATTCCTCAGCATAGAAAGTGGGAAATATTGGATCTCAATGTCTATTTTATTTCATTTGACTTATTAAGGATTCTTATCTTTTTAAAAAATTTGTGGCATACAAAATGATGTTTTGAAATATGTATAGATTTTGGAATGGCTAAATCACACTAATTAATGTATGCATTTCCTCACATGTTTATCATTTATTTGTGGTGATAACACTTAAAATCTCCTCCCTTAGCAATTTTCAAGTGTATAATACATCATTGTTGTCTACAGTCACCATGTTGTACAACAGATCTCTTGAACTTATTTCTCCTAACTTAGACTCTGTATCCTTTAAGCAACATCTTTCTAATCTCTCTTGGATCTCCAGCCCCAGCTCCTGGTAACCATCATTGTACTCTCTGCTTCTTTGAGTTCAAGGTATTTTAGATTCAGTATATAACTGAGATCATGTAGTATTTGTCTTTCTATACCTGGCTTATTTCACTAAGCATAATGACCTCCAGTTTCATCCATGTTGCTGCAAATGACAGGATTTTCTTCTTTTCTAAGGCTGAATAGTATTCCATTGTGTTATATACCACATTTTCTTTATTCATTTGTCTGTTGTTGGATACTTAGGTTAATTCTGTATTTTGGCTGTTATGAATAATGCTGCAATGAAAATGGGAGTGCATATATCTCTTTAAGATACTGATTTCATTCCTTTGGATATATACCCAGTATTAGGACTTCCAGATCATATGGTACTTCTATTTTTAATTGTTTTAGAGAACTTCCCTGCTGTTTTCCATAGTGGCTATACTGATTTACATTTGCACCAACAGTGTGCAGGGGTTCCTTTTTCTTCACATCCTTGCCAAAATTTATCTTTGTTGTTTTTTTTTAAATAGCCCTTCTAAGAGGTGCGGTTTTAATTTGCATTTTCCTAATGGTTAGCAATATTGAGCATATTTTCATATAACTGTTGGCCTTTTACATGTCTTTTTCTGAGAAAAGTTCATTCTGGTCATTTGTCTATTTTAAAAATCAGGGATTTTTTTTGGTGTTATTCAGTTGTTTGAGTTTCTTATGTATTTTGCATATTAACTCCTTATCAGATGTATGATTTGCAAATATTTTCTCCCATTCTGTAGATTGTCTCTTGATTCTGTGGATTGTTTCCTTTTCTGTGCAGAGCTTTTTAATTGGATATAATTCAATTTGTCTGTTTTTGCTTTTGTTGCCTGTGCTTTGGAGTCATATCCAAACACATCATTGTCCAGACCAATGTCATGGAGCTTTCCCCTATGCTTTCTTTTAGAGTTACATAATTTCAGTTCTTACGTTTAAGTCTTTATTCATTTTGAATTTATGTTTGTATATGGTATAACACAAAGATCTAATTTTATTCTTCTGTATGTGGAAAAGGAATTTTTATCTTAGATAAAATTTTCATGATTCTTTTCCTGTTTTCTAGAACATTAATTATAGTAATTCAAAAATGCCTGTATACCTGAATTATCTGTGGAATTATTTCCATTGTCTGTTATTTTTCTCTTTTTCTGTCTCTCTCTCTCAGTCATTTGTTCTTCTTTGGTCATTTAGTTCTCTTTTTAAAAAAGGAAAAGCAGGTGTCAGAATTTTGTTTAACTATAGATGTTGATTATTAAAGATTGTTCATGTCATTTTCCTCAAAATAAGATTTTCTTTTCACAGGCAGATAGAGTATCAGCAAACCAACTTGTGCTGCCCATAGTTTATTTATAGGCTTTGTTAAGCTGGCATATTTCAATTTTGCCCTCAATCCTAAGGTCTAGCCTTTACTCCTAAAACAGCTTTTCAAGAGTCTCAGTTCAAACCATAGTATGTTTACCAAGGCTCTTCCTATTTAGCAGAGCTTGAGCTCCAGCCTCCATCTCCCCAACACCACGTGACTGCTGAAATCTCTATCCTGCAATTTAGCCTTCTACATGCTATTTTTAGTCTGTTTCTTAGAGTACTACCTCTTGCTATTCAAGTTAGGAGTTGACTAATGCCTTAAAGGGAACATCAATGCAATTTACTTCTCTCTGGTATTATATTCCTCAAATCCTTTATGCTTTGGTTTACCTGAACTTCTCTGTCTCCTTAGTTGGTAAGGATGTTCCTTTCTCATCTCTTCTGTTCCACCTTACAATGAAATAGCAAATGCCTGTAGAAAAATACCTAGCCAAATGTGATGCTCTCATTGGTGCACTTCTCTTTTCTTAGGGATCACAGTCCTTCAAGTCTTATCCGAGTTGATTCCTCTCAAATTCCTTCAAACAGTTTGATATGGGTTGATTGTGTATCTCATCTTGAATTGTAGTCCCCATAATCCCCACATATTACAGGAGGAACCAGGTGGAGATAATTGAATCATGGGGGAAGTTTCCCCCATCCTGTTCTTGTGATAGTGAGTTAATTCTCATAAGAGCTGATGGTTTCATAAGGGGCTTCCCCTTTCACCAGACACTCATTCTTCTTCTCCCTGCTGCCATGTAAAGAACGACGTGTTTGCTTCCCCTTCTGCCATGATAGCAAGTTTCCTGAGACCTTACTTAATTAAACCTCATTCCTTTATAAATTACCCAGTCTCAGGTATGTTTTTATTAGCAGCATGAGAACAGGCTAATGCACAGTTATTTTATTAATTTTGTCCAGTTTGGTAATAACTTTTGATTGGGTTAGTTCAATGTAAGTTACTTCATTATGACTGGAACCAAAAGTATTGCTTCTTTTCAAAGGGGACTCCATATGAGTTACATTTTAAAGGCAGATGGAACCTTCATTGTTTTATATTTCCTGATGTTTTATCTCTCAAAACTTCTATTATATATAACTGAGAGTCTAGGGGATACTATGCCGTCTAAGGGCTAGATAAGTTTGGACCTCTCTTTCTATAACTTTGTACCTAGGGGAAAAGTCTTGTGCCCTCCCCAAGCATACTGTGACTTACAGGGGAACTTGTATCCTAATGATTACCTTACGGATTCCTGTTCCCTACTCTGGTGTCAGAATAAATGTAGAACCAAATGAAAATCAATCTTTCCTTGATTTTCCCAGACAAAACCAAAAATATCCAGTCACACAGGATTTTCTATGGTTAAAGCCTTTGTGGAAATTTAAGTGATGAACTCATCCTCTTTTATGGCTGCATAGTATTCCATGGTGTACATGTGCCACATTTTCTTAATCCAGTCTATCATTGATGGACATTTCGGTTGGTTCCAAGTCTTGGCTATTGTGAATAGTGCCGTAATAAGCATATGTGTGCATGTGTCTTTACAGTAGCATGATTTGTAATCCTTTGGGTATGTACCTAGTAATGGGATTGCTGGGTCAAATGGTATTTCTAGTTCTAGATCCTTGAGGAATCGCCACTGTCTTCCACAATGATTGAACTAGTTTACGCTCCTACTAACAGTGTAAAAGTGTTCCTGTTTCTCCACATCCTCTCCAACATCTGTTGTTTCCTGACTTTTTAATGATTGCCATTCTAACTGGTGTGAGATGGTTTCTCATTGTGGTTTTGATTTGCATTTCTCTAATGACCAGCGATGATGAGCATTTCTTCCTGTGTCTGTTGGCT